ACAGGAAACTTGAAATTCAATAGAACATAAGGTTCGAAACGGCCTAATATTAACTTTCACACCTTTTTCGATTACACAGCTAGAAAAACTTGCTTTTTATGTCCACGAACTGTCTAGTTATGCAAGAGTGAGGCATCTACAGAAAGCCTATTGACCGTAGATTCCAAAAATATAATTCTCCGACCGTGGTAAATTCAAGTTTTTGCTACTGCAGAAGCCTTGAAATTCAATAGAACATAAGGTTCGAAAAGGCATAATATTAACTTTCACGTCTTTTTCGATAATACAGCTGGAAAAACTTGCTTTTTATGTCCACTGACTGCCTAGCTATGCAAGCATGAGGCAACGCCAGAAAGCCTATATTGACCGTAGATTCCAAAAATACAATTTTAATACTGGCCTAAATTCAAGTTCTTCCTACAGCTAGGAGCCTTGAAATTCAATAGAAGATAAGGTTCGAAACAGCATAATATTAACTTTCACGTTTTTTTCGATTAGACCGCTGGAAAAACCTGCTTTTTACCTCCACGAACAAATCTAGTGATGTACGCGTAAGGAGGGCATCGACAGAAAGCCTATTGCATGATCATATATATATACCAAAAATACAATTTTCAGACTACCCATGTTCAAGTCTCTGCTACAGGAGGCCAGGAGCCTTGAAATTCAATAGAACATCCCAGCGGGCAAAATGACGTTTATCCAACGTTGAATCGACGTTGGAGATGACCTTCCAGACGTTAGATAGACGTTGAAAAAGGGTTTACTATGCAAATACGATCGACGTTACTGTTTCGACGTTGAAACAACACGATTGCACAAGAGTAAAAACTTCGGAGGCCTTTCGCGAGGTTTCTGGCGCCGAGGACGCGAGTTCCTGGCGCTGAGGACGTGGTTCCTGGCGCTGAGGACGTGGTTTCTGACGTTGAGGACAAGGTTCCTGACGCTGAGGACAAGGTTTCTGAGCCTATGGCCGTAGATTCCAACAATACAATTTTCAGACTGAAAATTGTATTTCTGGAATCTACGGTCCATAAGCTTTCTGTCGATGCCTCATTCGTGCATCACTAGACGTCCGTGGACATAAAAAGCAGTTTTTCCAGCTGCACGTGTAATCAAAAAGGACGCGAAAGTTAATATTATGCTGTTTCCAATCTTGCGTTCTATTGAACTTCAAGGCCCCTGTAGCAGAAACTTGAATTTACCACGGTCTGAAATTGTATTTGTGGAATATACGGTCCACAAAAGGTTTCTATCGATGCCTTATTCGTGTATCACTCAAATAATTTCGTGATACTTAATTTCATCTTATAAGTGCCTTACATGCAAAACTAAAGCTTTTTTGACTTTTTTGAAACGTATTATTGGAGTATTGGCAAATTTTAGCATTCAGAGATTTACAAACTAATATTGAAACTGTAAAAAACAGTTTCATGTATAGCGCATTCACTAATGAGTAATGACAACTTTTAAGCCATACAATTTCCGATAACGACAAAGTACGGCTTGTGTAGCCTTTAGTCGCTCTCAGTGACTAATATGCCCCTTGCATTTTATACCGCTTTTTGAAAGATAGGCAAAGCGAGTAAAGGTTAGCCTTTTACGTTTTCGTAAGAGGACAGTTTTATGATTTGAAAAATGGTGCAAAGATTGGCATAAAAATGGAAATTTCCCCAAATGGGGAAAAAGAAAAGTTCGTCCACTCTTTGACATTTAGGGACCGATTACATGGAGCATTTTCAACCCCGGGGTTGAACTCAGCCCTGGGTTGAAAATTTTGTCATGTGATCGTTTCAACCCAAGGCTGAAATTATCATGCCCTATTCGAGCATACGTGGTAGTGACTATTTATTACAAGAAAACAAAATAAAGGCTTTTTTACTTCTGGGAATTGATGCCTAGAACGTATAGTATAGCGTTTCAACCCCGGGGTTGAAATTGTCCATGCATGTAATCGCAAAAAATTTCAACCCGGTTAACAGGACTGAGTTCAACCCCGGGGTTGAAAGTTCTCCATGTAATTGGCCCCTTAATTAAGTGGAGCTACATTTGCGTGCAAAAAAGTAAAGGATCAGGCCCTGAATTTTTGACGACTTAATTTTTTTAAATAAAATTTGGTGATGAGGGATGATGTAGATATAAGTACAGTTTAATACCACCAAGATCTGCTAGTCGAGTGGTAATCTCCTGGTGTTGCATGAGGAAGAAGTACGGGTCGATCCCTGCTGTAGTCGGAACCATTTTAAGTAGAATATAAGTAGAATAATTTAAGTAGAATATAAAAGGATTTAAAGCAAGTGTAGGCGAGATGGTCTAGTGGTAAGGACAAAGTGTTGCAATTGTGCTAAGTCAGGATCGATTCCTGCTGTAGTCAAAAAGCATTTTCATGTCAGACATCGTTGTTAATTAATTCCACCTCGAGACGACAAAGAGTTAAGTAGAATAAAAAATGAGTTAAAGCAAGTGTAGGCGAGATGGTCTAGTGGTAAAGACGAAGTGTTGCAAGTATGTAAAGCCGGGATCGATTACTGGTTGTGCCGAAAGCATTTTAATGTCAGGCATTGTTGTTTATTAATCAGTTCCACCCGAGACGAGAAAGAGTTAAGTAGAATAAAAAAGGAATTGCATCAAGTGTAGGCGAGATGGTCTAGTGGTAAGGACGAAGTGATGCAAGTGCGTAAAGCCAGGATCGATTCCTGGTTGTGACCAAAGCATTTTAATGTCAGGCATCGTTGTTTCTTAATTCCACCCGAGACGAGAAAGAGTTAAGTAGAATAAAAAAGGAGTTAAAGCAAGTGTAGGCGAGATGTTCTAGTGGTAAAGACGAAGTGTTGCAAGTGCCTGAAGCCAGGATCGACTCCTGGTTGTGCCGAAAGCATTTTAATGTCAGGCATCGTTGTTTATTAATTCCACCCGAGACGAGAAAGAGTTAAGTAGAATAACAAAGGGAGTTACAGCAAGTGTAGGCGAGGTGGCCTAATGGTAAGGACAAAGCGTTGCACGTGTGAGAAGCTAGGTTCGATTCCTGGTTGTGTCGGAATCATTTTGGGCAGGGAAAGGTTCGAATACAATTGTATTAACTTTCACGTTTTGTTCGACTATACATGCAGCTATAAAAACCTGTTTTTTATCGTCTAATGATGCACGAATCAGGCATTGACAGAAAGCCTATGGATCGTAGATTTCACATATTAAAGGCACATATTAAAGGCCCATATTAAAGTCTCTGCTACAAGGGCTTTGAAAGTCGATAGAACATCGATCAGGTTCGAAACCGCATAATATTTATACACGAGTAAGGCATCGATAGAAAGCTTATGGACCGTAGATTCTAAAAATGCAATTTTTAGGCCGTGACAAATTCCAGTTTCTGCTGCAGAGGCCTTGAAAATCAATACAACCCAAGGTTCGAAACCGCATAATATTAACTTTCACGTCTTTTTCGATTATACACCTGGAATAACCTGCTTTTTATCTTCATGAACTGTCTTTTGATACACGCGTAAGGCATCGATAGAAAGGTTATGGACCGTAGATTCTAAAATGCAATTTTCAGACCGCGACAAATTCCAGTTTCTGCTGCACAGGCCTTGAAAATCAATACAACGCAAGGTTCGAAACCGCAGAATATTACTTTCACGTCTTTTTCGATGATGCACCTGGAATAACCTGCTTTGTTTCTTCATTGACTATCTCTTGATACACGAGTAAGCCATCGATATAAAGTTTATGGACCGTAGATTCTAAAAATATAATTTTCAGAGCGTGAGAAATTCACGTTTCCGCTACAGGGACCTTGAAATTCAATAGAACATCAGATTCGAAACAGCCCAAACCCTAACCCCCACTTATATAACACTAACTTTCAGTTTTTTTCGATTACACAGCTGGAAAACACTGCTTTTTATCTCAACGTCCGCCCTAGTGATGCACGAATGAGGCATCGCGAGAAAGACTATGAATCGTAGATTCCAGAATTACAACTTTCACGCTAGCCCAAATTCAAGTCTCTGCTACAAGGGCCTTGAAGTTCGATAGAACATCAGTTTGGAAACCGCATAATATTAACTTTCACGTCTTTTTCGATTATGCACCTGGAATAACCTGCTTTGTTTCTTCATGGACTGTCTTTTTATACACGAGTAAGGCATCGATAGAAAGCTTATGGACCGTAGATTCTAAAAATGCAATTTTCAGACGTACGTGACAAATTCCAGTTTCTGCTGCACAGGCCTTGAAAATCAATACAACGCAAGGTTCGAAACCGCGTAATATTAACTTTCACGTCTTTTTCGATTATGCACCTGAAATAACCTGCTTTGTTTCTTCGTGGACTGCTTTTTTATACACGAGTAAGGCATCGATAGAAATCGTATGGACCGTAGATTCTAAAAATGCAATTTTCCGGCATTGACAAATTCCAGTTTCTGCTGCAGAGGCTTTGAAAATGAATACAACGCAAGGTTCGGAACCGCATAATATTAACTTTCACATCTTTTTCGATTATGCACCTGGAATAACCTGCTTTTTATCGTCACCGACTGTCTTTTGATGCACGAGTAAGGCATCGATAGAAAGCTTATGGACCGTAGATTCGAAATATATAATTTTCAGACCGGCGTAAATTCTCGTTTCCGCTACAGGGACCTTGAAATTCAATAAAACATCAGATTCGAAGCAGCCCAAACCCTAACCCTCACTTATATAATACTAACTTTCACGTTTTTTTCGATTACTCGGCTTGAAAAAACTGCTTTTTATCTGCACATCCGGCATAGTGATGCACCAATGAGGAGTCGCGAGAAAGCTTGTGGATCGTAGATTCCAGAATGTCGCGAGAAAGCTTGTGGATCGTAGATTCCAGAATTACGCTGAGAACAAGGTTCTCCACGCTGACGACAAGGTTCCTCACGCTAAGGACAAGGTTCCCCACGCTGAGGACAAGGTTCCTCGCGCAGAGGGCAAGTTTCCTCACGCTGAGGACAAGGTTCCCCACGCTGATGACAAGGTTTCTCACGCTGTGGACAAGGTTCCGCCACGCTGAGGACAAGGTTCCTCGCGCAGAGGGCAAGTTTCCTCACGCTGAGGACAAGGTTCCCCACGCTGATGACAAGGTTTCTCACGCTGTGGACAAGGTTCCGCACGCTGAGGACAAGGTTCCTCACGCTAAGGACAAGGTTTCCCACGCTGAGGACAAGGTTCCCCACGCTGACGACAAGGTTCCTCACGCTGAGGAGAAGGTTCCTCACGCTGAGGACAAGGTTCCTCACGCTGAGGACAAGGTTCCTCACGCTGAGAACAAGGTTCCTCACGCAGAGGCCAAGTTTTCTCACGCTGAGGACAAGGTTCCACACGCTGAGGACAAGGTACCTCACGCTGTGGACAAGGTTCCGCACGCTGAGAACAAGTTTCCTCACGCTGAGAACAAGTTTCCTCACGCTGAGCACAAGTTTCCTGACGCAGAGGACAAGTTTCCTGACGCAGAGGACAAGTTTCCTCACCTGAGCACAAGTTTCCTGACGCAGAGGACAAGTTTCCTGACGCAGAGGACAAGTTTCCTCACGCTGAGGACAAGTTTCCTCACGCTGAGAACATTGTTCCTCACGCAGAGGACAAGTTTCCTCACGCTGAGGACAAGGTTCCTCACGCTGAGGACAAGGTTCCGCACGCTGAGAACAAGGTTGTCCACGCTGAGGACAAGGTTCTTCACGCTGAGGACAATTGGAGGTCGTCGAACATGCTCGTCACTCAGACTTGTAAATTATGATGTAGTTTTGAACTGACAGGTAGAGAAGTGAGAGAACTTTTAAGTTATGAACGCTTTAAAAAGCGTAGATCAATTGTAAACATGTATTCTAAAACTGTAAACAGGACCCAGAGAAGTGCACCGCTGAGATTTGGTAGAGTTAGCTAACTTAGCTGGAAGTACATTGAACCCGAAGACGAAGGTTTTCTAAGGGTCTGTTCATGTGTGCCCGCAAGCTCACCTGAGTGGAATGATTCCTCAAAATATTTTTGTAGTGCAATTAAACAAACTCTGTTTAGGTTTATTAATGTTTCTTTTTTGCTCGTATTTTTCAACTATGCTGTTCTATATTACAGTAATGCTACATTACAGGTCCGATAGAATAACATTTTCCATAGGATTGAAGGTTTTATCCCACAGTGATCCCACAAGGTGAGATCTCACCTAGCCTAGCTGGGCGCCTCGTTTCTCATACGAACAAAAATTAAATTTTATATGCTTTAACAAAGGCCACGCGGATCTCACTGATGCTGCATGTGAGTTTCCCCGTCAGTTGGTTTGTATCAAATAACAGGCCTTAAAAGCTCCACAACGGAGCCACAAAGTGATAAGGAGACCACACTTCTCCAATACTAATTTTTAATGTTGAGTTTTCGTCGCCTCGTTTCATCGTGAAGAACATATTCTAAATTCATAAATGAAAAAAACTTGTTTTACTTTCTAAAGTTTTCAGCCGAATGTTCTTTCAACCTCGTTCCCAGGCTCTTTTGAATATATCTCTCCTCTGTGACCTTGTGTATTAAAAGTTGATTAGCAGCGTGTCCACTTGGAAGAAAATTTCCTTTCAAAAGAAAATTTCTTTCAAAGTGAAAGGAGTCGGAGGGTTGTGGGAGGGTGAAACATTCCGGTGTATTCCAATGCTGTATTTAGATAAATGCGGAAAGTTCCAGCCTATATTTTTTATTCTATTAATTCTTCAGTTCCTGTTTTTTGTGGAAAGGACTTCAGGACTTGACTTCAAATAAAAGATTCCGATATACCAAACCTGTTTCACAGTGTTGTAGGACTCGAGGCCGGACTTGGACTCTTAACACATCGGACTTGGACTCGATATCAAAGAACTCGGACTCGACACCTCTGGACTTGGGAATTTACGTCAAGTCCTGTACGGACTGTATATACGAGCCCACCACTTAAATTTCCTCGTTGATATACTCATCGCTTCGTTAAAATTAGTATGGCCTCTATTGCCAATGCCACCCGTCGTTAAAACAACACAAATTGCTCTGTCAGTGCGCGTTTCAAACTTAATTTTCCAAAGATCTTTTTCGCGAGAAGAATATATGCCAATATGGAAACACTACGTGATTTGTTTTTGCGACAAAATTCGAGAGGTGGAGATCACATGATTTATATCTTACGACTTTTTAATTATTAATCAATGCTTTTTCGTTCGATATAGAAAAATATATCTATTTACAGAATTCAATACTTCAAATTAAGTGTTCCATTTATTTTATTCGGACACATGCATGCACAGCATGTAATGTAGGGCCTTATACTGCTTTGCACTGTACATGTTTTTTGAATACCGCTTTGTCTTTTGGAAATATGATTTATTATACTTTATCATTTTATTATACTTTATCAGGGCTTGGACTCATAATATTTAAGACTCGGGCTCGAAAATTGGACTCGTACTCATTGAGTCCTAGTCCATACATCCGACAACTTGGACTCGTACTCGAATGTATAGGACTCGAACTTGCATGGGCTTGGACTCGTAAGTTGTGGACTTGACTATAGCACTGATGACCTAACAGTATGATCATGGTAATCAAGTATGGATCACTAACATCATTACTGCATCATTTCAACACTGCAGTGCAGTGTTGAAGCAGCAGTTGCAAAGAACTTTCCAGGTTATGAACAAGCAATTTTTGGAAGGAAATTCAATGAGAAAAAAGGAAATGTCGTGTTCTAAGACTATGGAAGGAAACGTTTTGTTGTGTTTTTTTTGTGGGGGGGGATTTGAAAATTCCTGGGAATCAGAAAAAAGCGAGTTAAAATAAGACTGGCAAAACAGACTGGCTACCCCTTCGTTGATATTCTAAGCAGGGTTCGTACACCTTCCCATTTAAAATTCCATGGCTTTTCCATGACTTCCCATGACCATTTTTTTCAAAATCCATGACCTGGAAGTCTTGAATTTCGGAAATTCGTTCATATTTTAACGATAACGGATATAATAAAAGAACAAAATTCACTTCGCTCTTGCAAAAATCCATAACAATTCATATTATTGTTATGACTGGTAAGTTGAAATAAGTAAAATACTTTGTTAATGTTATGTAAAATTTCAATTTTCCATGACTTTCCATGACTAAAATTGATTTTCCAGGATTTCCAGGCCTGGATTTTGGAATATTGAAATTCCATGACTTTCCAGGTTTTCCAGGACCCGTACGAACCCTGTCTAAGCCAAAAATAGCAGGCTGTAATTTCACACTAACATTTGTACGTCAAATTTGTACGCCTATCTTTTCATTCAGTGTTGATCAGATAATTTTTTGGCAGCGAACGAAACACAAAAGTGAAGCGTCCAATATATTATGTTAACTTTCATTGGAAAATATATGATGCAAAGCCAAAGAAAAGGTCAAAGTTAAACTTGTAGGTCAAAAGACACTAAAACTAGCTTGGTTTACAATTTTTGAAAATATTATTGTAGGACAGAAAGAAATTTTCGGAGAAATATTTCGGAGCTTGCATGCCTTTCAAGATGAAACTAATAGAACGAAGTCTTGCACAGTATTTTAACGCAATGAATATATGAGTCATATTACCATAAGCTGGACTAATAATGTGCGTTTTAAAATATAAATACAATGGTGAACATTTTAATCATCTCAATTCAATCTATAAATTAACCTTGACCATGGTTGTTTCAATCTAATAGCACTAAGCTTGGGAAATATGCAGTTAAAATTAACTCAAAAACTTATAGTAATATAATATATATGCGCCTAGCCTCATATATGCAAGCATCACCTTGAGATTGCATGGCGGCATTGAATCCAAGCAACCATGGTGAACCACGAGATGCCTACGGGGGAGGGGCTAATATGCGCCCACAGTGGTTCAAAATATTGGGTAAAATTACTGAAATTTCAGAGCAAGTTTACTCATTTCTTGAGTAATGTAAATATTTACTTCAAAAATTGAGGAGCTTACAGTTGATCGAGTCACTGTGGGGTAAAATATTGAGGGGAGGAAGTTTGGTGATCGTTCCATGTTTCGCGCACCAATATAGCAAACGTTATGTAATGGATACTATAGTGTACTGCAAAGTCAACTGGATACCTCCATATATACATATATAAAAAAATCCAACACTAACCTTAAACCTAACCCTAACCTATATTGGTGCACGAAACATGGAACGATAACCGGAAGTTTGCAGTGATGGCTATAGTAATTCAATCTAATAAACCAAGCTTGGTAAACGATATATAGTTTATAATTAGAAAGTGAAAATTAATGTACAGCTTAAATTAATCCATGAACTTAATCCTTACTCCATGGCCAATTCAATATTGTAAACTAAGCATAATAAACTATTCATATTGAAAATTAATATCGAAGCTATGTTAATCCAGGTACTGTACGTAATCCTTAAAATCAATATACTTAATCTTTAATCCGTAAATTTGTACACAAAGTTGGTGAAATCTTTCCCCACACCAGACACACAGTCATCAGAGGCGCCGTATTTATCATATGCAATAAAATCTCGCGAACCCCAACACTCCCCATAAAATTGCACTGCAAAATACTGAATAGAGAACAAAAATATAGTTAATATTTTAGTTAGAAATTTTTGAAGGCCGTAACTTACTCAACTGTATAATATTGTGGCATAAAAAATTCTTGTTGCTCACCTTGTATCCCTGTTCATGTGCAGTACAGGCACATTCTCTGACAGTTTTCTGCATATCATGCCAGTCTATCTTATCTCTAAGGTTCACAATCAAATCTGGCAATGCTCTCCCGTAGCGATCGTTGAAGCAACCTAACCGTTCCGCACCTGTATGGTTGAAAAATGCGTTTATGCAAAGTATAAATAAAGTTAGTAATTCAATTTAGGTTTCCATCTGTAGTTACACTGGACCAACAAGAGACGATAAGTATCGTCGTATAAAAGTATCGTCGTATAAGCTACATGGATTAATACAAGTTCAATGGTCTTACCACAAGGCGTTTCGCGGAAATAGATGTCATCCAAAGCTATATCAGCATGATAAGAAGGACCACGGATTGCTTCAAATTCCACCTAGACATAAACAGGCAGTAATAGACATTATGTGCTGACGTCTCGCAACTTTTAATGTAATGCACAGTGCATCATGGAATACTTTTGGGTCAATAATTCATTTTTCCATTGTGCGGGAAACCAGCCATCAGAATTACTAAATTAGGCAAAATTTCTAGAAGCCAAAAATTTGTTCTACGTGTTGTGGATTTACTCAGGATGAAAACGAACTTGTGCACAATCAAATTATCAAGAATATCAAGTGTGAAACTTTTTCGTAAGGAGACCAAATACAACAACTGTCTTTGTTACAGGAAGCAAACAAAGTCCGTAACAAAAATGTAGATGTTGAAACGTGTTAACTGGGCCTGGAAAATATACCAGTGAATTTGTGTGAGTGATACTTTTTATCGATGGTGCCGGAATGTTTTTACAAAGCTCACTTCAACTGGACAAGATTATTTATTACAACCTAAGGGAGAGAGACGTGACGTTTCCCCCGGAGGCATTGCCGGCGAGAATTGCCTTTTGCTACCGCTAATTCCGATGGTTTGGGAAACATAAGTTTAACCCATTGAACGCCAGGGCACTTTCCTTGACGAGTAAAATTGCCTGGCGTTAGACAGGGCAAAATCGAGCAGGGCGCATCATCATGGTGCAATGCAACTTGGTTGTCTAACAAGACACATAGTTTAATTAACTCATTGAGTGCCAGTGTTCTCAAGCGTTCTTCCCTTGACGAGTAAAATCGTTTGATGTTAGACAGAGTAAAATGATAAAGTAGGGCGCATTAAGGCGCATTGCAACTTTGTGGGTTGATAAAACATATGGCGTTGCTAGAATACGTGGAAGAAAAATATGAGTCATCATGCTTTCAATAAAGATGACGCATGTATGCCGTTCAATGCAAAATTCTTATACATCCCTTATCATTTTTTTCTGATTTAGAAACGACGCTAGTGCAACAGGTTTTGAAACATAGCCTCCAAATTTTGTGTACTTGCTAATTTTGACCTGTTCTTTTCATTTCTGGTATTTATAAAGTGCTAACATCAAACTAGATCTCCACACTTGACCTTCACGTTTGAGATATCTAATCAATACTCACCTGATAATCCGTGCTGGACACGTTAGAGATGGTCGCTTCACCCGAGATCCATTTGCTTCCTTGATCACCCTTTTTACTCCATAACTTTCTCCTGGAACCCCTATCGTCCTTGATATACACACTAAGTTCTCCCATGGTTTTGCCATACATGCTGTAGTACCATGTCATGCAACGACATTGGGAGGGTGGAAATTGCTTGCTGGTTAGGAGGGCTATATCATTGGGCGTTGCTGGTACACTTGCTTCAGCATAGATGTAATAATCTAGAAGTTTTACAATACCGGTGGTTAGTGGTGTTTGTGGTTAAAGATAGTGGTGTGGTGGTAATGATGTGTATGAGGTGCTGTGATGGAATGTTGGTGCCGTGGTGCTGATGATAATGGTGTTGGTGATGTTGATGTGGTGCTGATGATCATGGTGTTGGTGATGATGATATACTAAAACTGTCTGTACCAGTGTGGGTAGTACCAATGTGAAAATGCTGCGCTGAGTGGTTATATTACTACCTTAAAGAACAAGCAGAAACTCGACGTTTCGAGTGAAGGTCCTTCGTAACTCTTGACGAAGGGCCTTCGCTCGAAACGTCGAGTTTCTGCTTGTTTTTTAAGGTGGTAATATAACCACTCAGCGCAGCATTGGTGATGATGATGGTGATGTTGATGTTGTGCTGATGATGATGGTGATGATAATGATGATGATAATGATGAAGGTGATATTGGTGATGATAATGATGAAGATGATGTTGAAGATGATGTTGATGATTATGGTGTTAGTGAAAATGATAGTGTTGGTGATTATGGTTATTTTTTTGTTGGTGATGATAATGGTGATGGTTGTGATGATGATAATGGTGTGGTTGATGCTTTGGTTATGGTTATGGTTATGGTGATGGTAATAGTGGCATGTGATAGTATCATGTCATACATCGACATTAATGAGGAGCTCAAGATGTGCTTCATCTATTAGACGGACGTGACGAAAAAACAGTTTCTTTTCTTTTAATTACTTTTGGATTTGTTACCAGTTTAAGTTTGTTCTCCCATCTGTATCCGTCATTGTTTCGAAAACGAATCCACAGTTTTTTCTCTCGTGTTGCTGACGCTGGGAATTGAGCGCGTGTTTTTCGTCACGTAGTTGGTGGAAGACTTATTTCGTTGACCTCAGAGTGACATTTCGTCAAAACTTTTTTCTTCAAGATTGGTTTAGAAGCAAACTTGGAATAGGGTTAGTGTTAGTAAAACCGTTTCTTTGTCACGTTTTGTCACTCTGACGCCAGCGAAATAACCTCTTACGTAGTCGATGTGATATTCTATAGGATTTTACCGACTTAATATATGTAGATGTAGACCTCCGCGCGTACTTGATGAAGCACATCTCAAGCTTCCTATTGACAGAGTGGAACAATATGTTGGTTAAGACTGCTTTGTCGTTGGCGCTACAGGGAAACCTGCTTCAGCACAGATTTAATAAGGTTTAGCATTACAAAGGCATTGAACGGTAGTGATGATGGTGAGTGGTGATGATGGTGGTGATGATGGTAAAAACATTTGTGGTGATGATGGTGATAATGATGATGACAATGATTATGATACAGGTGTATTTTTTAATCATTATGATATCTGACCTAAGCCGGAGGTATGATCGCCATTAGGTCCAGTTGCCGGTGTTTTTGTTTCTCCTTTGTGCGTTTGCCAATGATAGTTCAAATTCCTATTACGAACCCAATGACAATAAGAACCAGATGTGAACTCACAGTTGTCTAGGAATAGAAAGATAATTGTACAGTATTAAAGAATATAGAGACGGCAAAACAATAGACATACGGGTAGAGTATGCGAAATTCCCGATTTTGAGGCACCCAATGCAGATACAATGACCAATGTGTATATATAGGTTCACATATACAGGTTCGGATTATCCACCAAACACTAGCATTCAAGTTTGGTCGCCACCAACATATACGAACAGGCTTTGTGATTGGTTGATCATAACAACAAAAGACAATGAACTATAGAATTAATCTTTCTAAAGAATGAGTCATAAACACCGATCATATTTGTAATACTGGTCATTAAATGCTGGGTTTGGTGGATAATCCAAGTGAGCGTATATGTACAGCTAATTCAAAAAAAGTTGTCCGTTGCAAACCTTAATAAACTCTAAACCTTAAACTCTAAACCTTAAACTCTAAGCGTGCAAAGCATAATGGGAGCATCATTTAATCAGTTTAGAAATCATATATGGGGCGCATTTCTTAGAGACATGGTATATATCTCCTTACGAGAAAAATTCATTCACAAATAGCTGCAATATTCAACTACTACTTTGCGTGCATAGAGTTTAAGGTTTGCAAAGGACAATCTTTTTTGAATAGGCAATTCCAACTTTTAGTTTATGCGTGCAGGGGACGATGGGAAGTAAGGTATCACATTGCTGATTATGCTGAAAAAATAAAAATGGTGGCCGTGTAAACACGGAGTGATAGCTTATACTTAGGTTGTTTCGGTAGTTTTTATTGAAATTTTTCAGCATAATCAGCAATATGATACCTTACTTCACATCATCCCCTGCAGGCATAAATAAAAGCTGGAATTGCCTATTGGCAGTATGCACAATGTAAGACCTAACAGGAATGGTTGCGAAAAATGTAATACTAGGTCCTTTGGTAGGAATCGAAATTGCGCCCCGGCGATTCTGGTGCAGCGCTCTAACCAACTGAGCTACAGAGGCCAGTTGTCGAACTGTAACCACAAGTTCATGTATATATAGATTTTCGGGGTTGGGATAAGGTGAACTTGAAAGACATTTTTGCACTTGGTTGAACTCGAAGAGTATAAATACCAATCTAAACTGATCGTGATTTGTGATTGTGAACATACCTGGCTTACATGTAGACTTAACAAAACAATCTTGCTGTTCCTTTGCGATACCAGTGCAATACTTCCCACTATGCAACGGGGAAGGATCTGTGCATGTTCTGGTGCGAGACCTGAAACCCATTGAACAGTTCTTACTGCACCCTGACCACGAGGACCATCGGCCCCAGTGTCCGTCTATTGGAGCTGAAACGCGAAGATTGAGCAAGTAAGCAAGCATTGGACTGTGTTCATCATCCTTTCTGATTTACTCAATCTGATCAAGTCGAAGGCTTGCTAATAAGCTATAAGTATGGAGCCGGGTTGATCTGGATCACAGGAATGATACGTTAAATTATGCTGTTACCACGGCTTTGATCACTATCCAAACTGACATACGGCAATTTTCGCCTATTCTATGCATTTTTCATGCATTATGCCACTGTGGGGGACATTCAAATTTCTGCAGACTGTACTAATCGTTTGTTTGGTTACGCCATATTTTTATGTATTCTTTTTATACATGTACTGACGTTTTACAAATCTCGAAACCGTCGAGAGTTTTGAAACATCTCGTAGTGAAACACTGAAACAAGTATCTACTACTAGATTATGGCGTGAGTACGGAATGGCGTAAGAAGATGGCGAGTATTTGCACACACCGAATGTCGTGGTCGTACTCAAATCTAATGCTCCCAATGGACCATTTGCATTATAGATTAAATTTTATCTAGACAAAAATTTCATCACAGCTTGAAAGAGCATTACAAAATGAGTAATATTCCAAAGTTTCGTTGCGAAATGTTGTAAAATGCGGATAATATAGCCTTGCGAAATTTGCAATTTTCAGTCATTTTGTATTACAAACGGGAAATTGATGCACCCAATCGGGTGTTGGGGCATCAATTTCCCGTTTGTAATACAAAATGACTGAAAATTGCAAATTTCGCAAGGCTATATTATCCGCATTTTACAACATTTCGCAACGAAACTTTGGAATATTACTAATTGTGTGATGCTCTTTCAAGCTGTGATGAAATTTTTGTCAAAATAAAATTCAGTCTATAATGCAAATGATCGATTTTCTTATCGAACTAGGAATATATAGCCGCGAGTGTCACGATAAATTTCCAGCCCATGTTCAGACGACGTCTGCGTTACGATACAGAACAGCACAACCTAACTAACATACCATAACAATCGTCCGTGGAACATGGTGAATACTGTGTTTCCACTCCATGCGACGAGACGCCAGGACAATCTTCAAGTTTTGAGGAGAAACAATATCTTTGTCTCTTTTTCTTACAGTCCTTGGTACACGGCGAGAAACCAGACCAGGCGCTCCATCCAACACCACGCACTGAATAAGAGAGAATTTTTCATTAAATGTAAATTTACGGTAAGACCATAGGCAGCCCAATGTTACAGTTGCCTGCCTGCGTGCGGACGAGGCATTGTACGTATATATAGTTGTGTATTATGTATAGGAAATAATACAACTATACAATGCCTCGCCCGCGCGCAGGTAGGCAACCATAACATTGGGATGCCTATGGTAAGACAATAAATACTTGATTAAACTGAACTACAATTTTATACTGGATTGCTCTATCAATTCTAAACTGTTGTCCCTAAGGGTCCAGTGAGCATTGTTTCTTATTGACTCAATGTTACTACAGGATGAAACCTAAACTATATTACTTTATTTATAATGGATAGCTCTATCAGTTTTGAACTCTGCCCCCGTGGAGGTCCAGTAAGGGAAATTCTTATCGGTTTCTGACTTACTACACGAGAAAACCTAGCTGAACTGAACTAACTTTGGAATATTTATATTGGATAGCTCTGTCACTTCTGAACTGTGCTCGGTAAGAGGTATCTCGTATCGGTCTGGTGTTACTACAGGAAGAAACTTAAACTAAACTAGTTTATTTATACTAGACAGCTCTATCAGTTCTAAGGTTCAGAACGTATAGAGATCCAGTGTTCCTATACAGGAGAATCTCCTGTATCCGAGAATACCTCAACTTAACTACTCTATTTTAATTTAATTTACACTGGATAGCTCTATCAGTTATATCTAAAACTTTTTTATAAAGGAGGAAACACAGTGACTCATCCTCTTTGTGATTCTTGGATAATTAATAATCAGATATACACTACTTACGATGACAGTTGTATAATGAATTCAGTTTAATGATGTCAGTTTTACTGAAGCCGTCACGTTGTCCAATATTTGCACCAGATATAGCCCTGATTGTGTCTTTGTTATTCTTTGAGAATGACTGTATTCCATAATGCATCACAGACTCCAGATCGTATTGCACGCCAAGAACATCCAAATAAGCATGACTGTATTTATTGAAATTGTGGGTTTCGCCTACGAAAGGAAACGCTTGGTGAACAAGTAAAACGCGCAAGTTCTTATAGATCTGCAAACAAGTTGCAACAAGGTTGTTGTCAAGCCAGTAAACGCATGTGTTCGCACTGCTTATTTCCAAGTAGTTGTGACAAGTCTAGAACAAGTTGTTATCATCACCTTGTTACATGTTGATGATGGTAACAAACATGCTATACAAGTTGTTCCAACAAGCTTGTTCGTATACCAAGTTACAGTGACGTGCAGACTTGTTGGAACAATTTGTTGCAAGTCTGTTGGCCTCACCAACCTTGTTACGTAAGATGATAAGAACTTGTTGCAGACTTGACAACAACTGTGAACAAGCGTTGCGGATACATTTTGTTGACAAACTGTGAGATTTTCACGCGCGTTGCTAAAATAGTCAGCGCGGTTCACCATTCTAGGGATGTAGGGAAGTGTCCCTAAATCCCAGTATCTCCTTTTGAATAATATACTTATCATTGGTTTGGACTTGTGAAGCGGGATTCTCTTTATGAAATGGATTTCTCTTAAATTCTAATCCTTACTTTCAATAATATTTTCCCAAAATATTTCAACATATCGATCCCTGTCCGGTCTGGACTGCTCATGTTGAAAGCCAAGCGCGTGAAGAATTTCATGAATGACAACTCCTTTACTGTAACAACCAGAGCCGAGTGATAAAGTCTGGGGGCCTGGTGATGAGTAGCCCCGACCAATGTACGACCAGCATCTATCAAACAAGTTTGTAGAAATTGATTAGAATTCATAGGTGGATATCGTGTAGCCGATGGTGGTACACCAGCAGTTACTAGAGTAAGAAAATAATCAATAAATATGCCGACAAGGTTGAGCGTGATATCGAAAATTATCAAGGCCGAGGTTGTCAGATAACACAAACCGAGGCCTTGATAATTTTCCATAACACGCGAATACCGAAGTAAATAACTATTTTATTACGCATATTAACGAATGTTTTAATATACTAAAACAACTTCAGAAAGGAACTTTTTATCCTGAGGTTTGCGTATATTTTTCTCTTCAAGATACTCGTTTAAAACTCTTAATGCTATCTTAGTTTGTAGCTCGGTTTAGTGTTTTCTCTTCTTTTTAGTTTTTGTACAATCTCGTTCCCCGAGCCTGCAACGAGATTGATTTTTGTACATCGTTTTCATATTTCATGTTTTTGTACATGGTTTTATATTTTCTGCATGTGAAGAAGCTGGCATTGCGATTATTCTCTGCAGGGTTGACGTCATATTTACATGTAGGAACGTGTCATCTGTAGATGTGATGTTATAATTGCACAGTAACAAGAATTATTTCTTGGCCAACAGCCAATCAAAACGGAGATTAAGTAATGCGTAATAATGTTAATTATTTGTGTATACTCACCCAATTCCTTTTATAAATTTGATCCAATGCGTTTCTGTTGTTTTTGGTACAAATGTAAGACACGAATGATTGTGGAAATCTTCAAATGCATTCAGTATTGCTTGCTTATGGAAACCTGAAAATATTCACGATCTTTTCAACTTCTCGTGTTGTTGTTGTCGTTGCTGTTGTCGTTGCTGTTGTTGTTGTTGTTGTTGTTGTTGTTGTTGTTGTTGTTGTTGTTGTTGTTGTTGTTGTTGTTGTTGTCGTTGCTGTTGTTGTTGTTGTTGTTGTTGTTGTTGTTGTTGTTGTTGTCAAACTTTTTTTTAATAATTAATAATTTAATGTTTACAAAAATTTACAAAAAAGATTATATGTTGCATTACCTGCAAGTAGCCAAGCTAGTCGTGGCAGGCAATGAATTTAAATGTAGGTAGTTTAAGTAAGTTTAGAAAAATATTTTTACAAATAAGTAAAGGAAAGTATATAAAGTTAATTGATTATGAAAAAAATATTGTAATTTTATTGTATATTGTTGTTGTTGTTGTTGTTGTTGTTGTTGTTGTTGTTGTTGTTGTTGTTGTTGTTGTTATTGCTGTTGTTGTTGCTGCTGTTACAGTTGTTGTTGTTGTCGTTGTTTTAAAATGGCGGACACGTCACGAAATGTTGGGGAGGGGGTCAAATTTAGGTCGCCACCATATTACCAGCCTTTTGTTACAGCAATTCTCGGTTCTGTCTTAAATAAATGTTATGCACATTTGTCTAATTTATAACCTATTAATTATTTTATGATTGTTGCATTTTTCTTGAATCATTGTTGCAGCTTTGGTACCGAGTTTATAATATCAGAGGTTGCACCCCTTGTCCTCCCCTCTTTCGCTGTAGTTTTTAATATTGTTGTCAATGAATGGTGGTAATAGTCGTTGTTAATTTCGAAGCGAAAGGTCAGAGGCGTAAAGAGCAATGTGGAACAGCTCTGGATACAACAGAGAATCTGCTCATAAAAGCATGTTGTAAACGTCGCCTACGCCCTAAAGACTCGATTGGTCAGTCATATCATAGTTGAGTACCCTTTATCAATAGTTGGTCAGTGGTCACCAATTCAACTCAACATCAACGACCTAAATGGGGATTTGCCTGTTCCCCTGATATCTAGAGGTTTGCCTGTTCCTCTAGAGAACCTAGTATATCTCACTCAACTCGACTGTGATGAACAATATGAACAGAGCCCCGTCACTCCCTCTGCGATCTAGAGGTTCGTCAGTTCCTCTAGGTAAAACTGAGGTTAGCGAGAGCCTCTATAGACAATTTTTTTAAATATTTTATACAGTATATCTTAATATCATATACAACTTAATTAAAAGATTAAAAATTAAAAAGTATCCATGTAAATTGTCCATTATAAAAGTATCTAAAGAATTTCTGCTGCATTAGCTTACTCAAAATATATGCCACAAAATGCGTCTGTTGTGTGTTGTTTTGCTAAACTGCAGTTTTTAGTTGGGGGCGATTTATTTCAACAGATTAAAATTCATTGAACTGATACAAAAATTAAAACAACTGGGAGTATATCTTCTGATTCCTTGTACAAATTGTCAAAATGGCATTCGCATTTCGGTCTACTTACTTAACTCATCTGATATCTCGTACGGTATAACACGAGTGAGCCAAAGTTTGGATCTATCTCTGAGTGCATTTCTCTTTACTTCAATGTTTCTCTTCTCAAGATCACCCTCTCTCAGCTTCACATCGCCTTCAAAAAGTTTATACAAACCTTGGTCTAAATAATTATTGTAAGGAAAAAAATATTAAATCAGAGCTGGATGCCTTGGGTAGCAAAAGTGGGCGTTGGTCAGTGAACTGTCTCAATCTGACAATCTTCTTGCCGCAGTAAGCTTTCTCAAACGAGGATGAGAGAAAAGAGTTGATGAGAGTTGGCAATGAATAATTCCAGCTTTAGACAAAATTTTGATCTAGACAAGAAAGACGAAATCTATCATCATATTTATACCTTAAAAGAACATACTTAAATTAGTACAATTGCCAAATTTGGTTGAAAAATGTTGTGAAATACGGAAAGTATAGCCCTGTGAAATTAGCAAACTTTGAGTATTTTAACTTGTATTTTAGTATTATACGCGCACAAAGAAATGCACCAATTTTGAGCCGAAAGTGGTGCATTTTCCCGCGCGTTAATACTAAAATGGCTCAAAATTTGCTAATTTCACAGGACTATATTTTCCGTATTTTACAACATTTCGCAACCAAACTTTGCAGTTTTACTAATTTTAGGATGCACTTTTGAGCTATAACGATAGATTTCATCTTTCTTGTCTAGATAAAAAAAATAGTCGATAGCTGGAATAATCCATCGCGAATTGTTACAGGGGACATTTCAATCTTTGATTAACAAAATAAAGGTTTGAAGAGTGTTCCAACTATGTTTAACTTAAATAAAATACATGATAGTGTTGGGAAAGCACTGAGAACAGTCAGCTAAGGTCGCGTGATCGCCAACTCTCAGCTCATGCACTCTCATCCTCGTTTGATCCGGTGTGCCAATCGTCCTTACATACTTGCAGCTGGCAGCTAAGCTGAATTACAGAGGATATAGCTCAACCTGATCGAGTCGAAGGCTTCCTAAGGACGCTCTTGTATGATGATTCATGTATAATCACGAAGCACAGCTACGGTGGAAAGGTTAGGTTTGAGATTTATCTCAGCCCACGCTGTCGTAGAGCGCTGACTGATTCTTTTCAGGCACACAAGTGTCATGAGTCCGCAAGAAGAACCGATGACCTCAGAGGCGAAAGGCGCTATCTCTGATGACTTAAGCTTCCCTGGGGTGTCAAATACCTTAAATCATAGAAATTAAACCAAGTCTCAGGGGCGTCGGAAGCGGGGGGTCCCCACTTTTTTAGTTGGGGGGGGGCTAAATATCTTTAGGCCTCCCCACTTTTCAACAATGGTTAATAATAATTAAAACCACAAAGTTATAAGTTCTTTGTATGTTTGCATGGCGATAAAACATATAATAGTTTTGTTTGTGGAAACACCACGTAAATTTATTACTGAAAAAAAAAATTACGTGGTGTTTCCACAAACAAAACTATTAAACCACAAAGTTAATTGATATTATTTCATGAGTTGCGCGTGTAAACGAAACCATTTGAGATATTTTATGACATTCTGTTACCTTAGAACTCTGTAAATCTCCTTCTAAAGTGCAGGAAATGGCATTTCAGAGACTAGTTTTAATTTTTTCCCGAGTGGGCATGCCCCGCCCCCCCCCCCCC